TTGGTAGAAATTAAGGGCTGGATTGATTAGCGGGCCGTAGGATTGAATTCGGGAAGTTTCAGCGGAATTTTAGAGGCCGATCATTGGCTGTGATGTGCTGTTCTATGTGCTGTGATGAACTGTTTGGCGTGTGGTCTGTGCCGTTAGATCCGGCTCGGAATTTCATGAAAGTGTCGTGAGGGCCGGGAGTGAGATATGGTGATTTTGAGGGCGAAAAAGGCTGATTGATGGCTGTGATGTGTGGTTCTATGTGCTGTGGGGTGCTGTTTGTTGTGTAGTTGGTACCGTTAGGTTCGGCTCGAGATTTTGTGAAAATGCTGTGAGGGGCCTGAATTGATTTGATAACGTTTGGGTGTGGAAAAATGTCAGTTTGTGTGTTGACTGCGTGTCTGCGATATGACTTTGTGGTTGTGATGTATTGGGTGCAATTGTGTGCACGGAATTAAATGTGAATGTGTGCAAGTGTGAGATTGGGATCGGGTCGAGGCATTATAAGCTCGGATCGCGATCACGTAGGCCTGTCGCATTTAGCGCAGGCTGAGGATTAAGGAAGTGGGAAATGAGATTGGCCCGAGGCATGATCAGCTCGGGTGAAAATAGGATCGGGCCGAGTCGTTCTAAAACTGGGGCCACGATCATGTAGGCCTGTCGCATTTAGCGTGGGCTGAGGAAAGTGTGAAAGTGGGATCGGACCGAGGCGTGTGATGCTCGGAGCGCGATCGTGTGGGCCTGTGGCGTGTTTACGCGGGCCGAGGAATGGGATTGAGAACGAGGTGTGTGGTATGGTAAGAGAAAGTGGGATCGGACCGAGGCGTGTGATGCTCGGGGCGCGATCGTGTGGGCCTGAGGCATGTTTACGCGAGCCGAGAAGTGATTGAGCTAGTGGGGTACGACGAGGAAAGTAAATGAAATTGATGTGATAGCGCGTGATCGATGTGTGTTTTTGGCATGGAACTGTGTGTGGATTGGGGTGTGCGAAGTTTGAAATGCGTGCGAGTTTTGAATGTTGTGATTATAAACTAACATGCAGGTTGAGTATGCCAACAGTCCAAGTAAGTGTGATTGCGTGGTTAGTGTTTGTTCGTGTTGTTCGTTTGTGTGTCTGAACTTGTCTGGAATACGTGGTAGCCTAGGTAGGGTTTAGGTTGTGACTTATTGAAAAGTGTCTCATGGTTGTTTCAACCAATCCATTTTAGAGCACCCGCCCGAGCCTTGAACCTTCCACCGCTACTGCCGCAGCGTTTTGGGGATCCCGATGCACACCGACATTGAGGATTAGAATATACCTTGCTTGCTAATCCCTTTTGAGGTTGAAGACGCGATCCGTAGAAGCCAGTTGGTGTGTGTGTATTATAAGTTTGATATTAAATTAAGGAGTGCTTGATGTGAATAGTTGGTGGTGTAATCAGGAAATCCGTTCGGGTGTGTACTATCAGTTGATGTGAATTTGATGAGTGTTGGAAATGTTGGGTTGTAAAGAATTGGATGTTGTATATTTATATATCGAGGTATAGTTTTATGTATTGGTGGTTTGGTGATTTATATCTTCCTGGTGTTCTCCAATTTTATTGTCTGGGTTTATCTCATTGATTTCTGCTGTGATCGAACTCTGATGGAATCAGGAGGTCCGCGTCGTTTCCTGGGACGTCGCACTGATTCGACCTGAGTAAGGGATGACGCGCGCTCGATGGGGTTCGGGGCGTGACATCCCCGTTTAAATTGGTATCAAAGCAAGGACAGCTCGATTTAATTCGGTCGAAGCTTGAAGTGATAAGGAGAGGAGACCCAGGATAGTTGTAGCTGGCTAGGAAAACCTTAGTGAGCCATAGATGTGTCTAGTGCTACACGTATTTCCAGACTGTTCGTTGTGGATGCTGGTTGAATTGAGTGTTCTAATGATTGAGTGCAGGTGCGTCTGGACCTAAGGTATGTGTTCGAACCTCATTGATTGTGTTTTGGTGATGGTTGCCTGCTAAGTGGATTATTGTCGTAATTCACTGCCTAGGACTAGATTGATCTAGTTGGCCTAGGTTACTAATTCCTGAGTGGAATTATAGCAGGTAGGAGAGTGGTAGGAAGCTGAAATAATCAGCAGCGAAGGAAGAGGTGTAGGAAGAGTCCCAAGAAGGGGCGCAGGAAGAGGAACAAGAGGTAGAGGTCGTGCTCGAGCTAGAGCTGTAGAGGACCTCGGAATGGGTGCTAGAACGATAGAAAACCCTGGAACTGATGCCGGAGCTACAGTGGACCCCAGAGTCGATGTTAGACCTGCAGAGGATCCTAGAATGGAAGCGGTCATGAGGACCCTAGAACAGATTGGTAACCTAATAGGACAGAAGACTTAGGAACGAGCTGCTACGATTGCCCAAGCTACCGAGGCCGCTGTAGCCGCTGCTGCTAATAATAATAATGGGAATCAAGGGCAGGGGCAAGTGATGGTGAATAGACAAATGCACCAATTGGTCGAGCAATTTATGAAGTTAAAACCGCCTAAATTCTCTGGAAGAGGTGACCCTGAGGCTACACCTCGATGGGTAGAGGAACTTGAGAAAGCTTTTGAGGTATCAGGGTGCACCGATAATGAGAAAGTAACCCTGGCAGGATATCAATTACAGGATAATGCGAATGATTGGTGGAAGGCCACCAGGGATAGAATATTTCCAAAAGGTACAGCCCGGACTTGGACTGCTTTTACCGGGAGTTTCTATGAAAAGTATTTCTCGGCAAGCGCTAAGGAAAGAAAGCTAGCAGAGTTTATGAGACTCCGCCAAGGCCAGATGACGGTAGATCAATATGAGGCGGAATTTGCGAGATTGTCTAAGTTTGCGCCGAGAATGGTAGAGCATCCCGATGATAAGGTGCGAAGATTTCGGGATGGATTGAAAGCTGACATTCGCAGCCAGTTGTTGCTGGTGAATCTGAGGACTTATGAGGAAATATTTGATAGGGCTCAAGTTCTTGAGCGGGATCAGGTAGATAGGGCCGCCGCTTCTGGATCGAGGTACGTTTCGACTAGGGACAATAGGAATCTTGGGAAGAGACCGATGTCGGGAAATCAGCATTTTGTCCCTTCGATTAGGAGGAATATTGGGAAGCTGAATCATTACCAGGGCGCTATATGCCAGTCATGTGGGGGAAGACATGGGGCTGGACCCTGTCCTAGTAGGAGCATTATATGTTATAGATGTGGCGGAGTGGGCCACCGAGTGAGAACTGCCCCAATAATAGACAGGATAGGTCGCCTGTACTGCCACCATTGCCTAGAGCTGGAAATCAAGTTGGCCCGCCCTTACCCCCGAACCCGAACAGGCCACCAACACAAGGACGAGTGTATGCGATGGCTAGAAGGGAAGCGGAGAATGCGCCGGGCGTGATCACAGGTATGGTCTCTCTCTGTGATCTTGCTGCTTATGTTTTATTCGATCCGGGGGCGTCGCATTTGTTTGCATCTGATCAGTTTGTTAAATTGACTGGTATGGAGCCGCGATTACTTGATGTTATACTATGTGTTACTACCCCATTGAATGATAAGATTTTAGTTTCGTTGGGGTGCTCAGATTGTAAGATTGTGATTGGTGATAGGGAAGAAAGAATTGATTTAGCTGTTCTGGCGATGTACGACTTCGATGTGATAGTAGGTATGGACTAGCTAGTTAAGCAGAGGGCGGTAATGGATTGTAGTAGCAAGGTGATCCAATTTAATCCCGTTGGACACCCTAGATTTGAATTTGTAGGAAGTCGGGGAGGAACCTCGATTCCTTGGATTTCGTCGCTAGAAATGACGAAATTGTTGGATGAAGGATGTGAAGGATTTCTAGCGGCTGTAGTTGATTCGACGGCTGATGAGCCGAGGCTAGAGGATATAGCCGTGGTATGCGAATATCCCGATGTGTTTCCTCAAGAATTACAGGGATTACCGGCGGAAAGGAAAGTAGAGTTTGTAATCGAGTTGGCACCTGGAACTGAGCCAATCTCGAAGTTGCCTTAAAGGATGTTATTATCGGAATTGAAAGGATTAAAAGTCCAGATGCAGGAATTATTGGACAAGGGTTTCATGCGTTCTAGTGTGTCCCCATGGGGAGCACCGATCCTGTTGGTAGGAAAGAAGGTCGGGACATTGAGGTTTTGTATCGAATGCCGGCAGTTGAATCAGGTGACAATTAAGGATAAGTACCCACTGTCGAAGATCGAGGATCTGTTTGACCAATTGCAAAGCGCCTCGATGTTCTCTAAGATCGATCTACAGATCGGATGTCATCAGTTAAGGAACAGGAAAGAGAATATCCTTAAGACTGCTTTTAGGATGCGATACGGGCGCTATGAGTTCACAGTGATGCCCTTTTGGTCTAACCAATGCCCTGCTGCCTTTGTGGACCTGATGAACCAAGGATTTAAGGAGTTTCTAGACCATTTCGTCGTAGTGTTCATTGTCGATGTATGGGTGTATTCGAAAGGCTCGGAAGAGCGTGAAGTGCAATTGAGTAAGGTGCAACGGACCTTAAGAGAACACGCACTCTACGCCAAGTTCAGTATGTGCGAATTTTGGCTTAGCAGAGTAGCGTTCCTTAGACACAGGATTTCGGGAGATGGAATGTCTGTGGACCTGACGAATATTGAGGCACTCACTAAGTGGCTGAGACCGACATCAGTGAAGGAGATTCGAGGTTTCTTAGGATAGGCTGGCTATTATCGACGTTTTGTAGAGGGGTCTTCGTCGATAGCCACGCCATTGACGCAATTGCTTAAGAAGAGAAAATTCAAATTTATGTAGATCACCAAAGCCTCAAATATCTGTTTTCGCAAAAGGAGTTAAGTCTGAGACAGTGTCGGTGAATAGAGTTGGTTAAGGACTATGATTGTGACCTTTGGTATCATCTCAGAAAGGCCAATCGGGTAACTAATGTAATGAGTCTGAAGTTAAGTGTCGCACATTTGATGGTAAGGAATGGACATTGTTAGAAAGAGTACGAGACTCGGGGTTTAGATTCGAAATAAGTCAAGTCTCAAGCTGGATAGCCACTCTGAGGATTGAATCGGAGATTCAGACTAAGAGTAAGATCTTGCAATCTGCGGATCAAGAAATTCAAAGAATTCTAGACATGGATAATATTAAGGGGAAACCTGACTTCCAAGTGTTCGAGGATGAAATTTTGAAGTTTTGAGGATGTTTATGCGTGCCCAATGAGTTGGAGCTTAAGAAGAGATTTTATCGGAAGCTCATAGGAGCAGTCATGATATTCACCCTAGGCAGCACGAAAATGTACCGGAAATTGTGGTAACATTATTGGTGGAATAAACTGAAAAAGGATGTGGCCAAGCATATGGCCAAGTGATTGGCGTGCCAACAAGTGAAGGCACAGCACTGTAAGCCTGAAGGGTAATGGAGACCATTGGAAATCCCTGAACGGAAATGAGAGCTCATCACAATGGATTTGGTAACGGGATTACCAAGGAGCCAGAGAGGACCCGGTTCCATGTAAGAGATAGTGGATAGACTGACTAAGTCAACGCACTCCCTGGCAGTGCGAAAGGATTTTGAATGGGAAAGGTACGCAGAGTTGTATGTGTGTCGGATAGTCCGTCTTCCTAGAGTACCGATAACGATCACGCTGGATCGTGATCCGAGATTTACCGCTAAATTTTGAAAGAGTCTACAAGCGGTCATGAGAACAAAGTTGTGGTTTAGTATAGCCTGTCATCCGCAGACGGATAGCCAAACTGAAAGGACTATTCAGACTTTAAAGGATATGCTTCGGGCATGTGTATTGGATTTTCAGGGTAAGTGAGAAGAGTAATTGCCCTTAGCAAAATTTGCTTATAATAACAGTTTTCGGCATAGTATTGGAATGGCGCCTTTTGAAGCGCTATATGGCAGGGCATGTAGAACGCCCGTGTGCGGGGATGAAGTAAGAGAAAGGAGTATCACCAGGCTAGAGTTAATTCAACAGTCAATTGAGGCTGTTAAGGTGATTCGTGAAAGGCTGAAATCAGCACAGAGCCGTCAAAAGAGTCATGCAGACAGAAGGCGAAGGCCTTTAGAATTTCAAGTAGGGGATCACGTATTTCTTAAGGTATCTCCCATGAGAGGACTATCCAGGTTCAGTAAGAAAGGTAAGTTGAGTCCGAGGTACGTGGGACCTTTTGAGGTGCTAGAAAGGATTGGGGATTTAGCGTATCGTCTTGTACTTCCACCAAATTTATCGCAAGTACATAATGTGTTCCACGTATCAATATTGAGGAAATATGAACTGGACCCGATTCATGTGCTCAACTATGAAAAGATAGAAGTTGATGACAAAGTGTCTTATGTCGAGAGACCAGTAAGGATTGAAGATCGGAAAGAACGGGTTCTAAGGAACAAGACGATCCCGATGGTCAAGGTGATTTGGGAACATCACGGGACGAAAGGCGCGACATGGGAAAGCGAAGAACTAATACAACGTCAATACCCCCATTTGTTTGAGTAGTGGTGGGATTTGTAAATTTCGAGGACGAAATTTTTGTAAGGGGGGAAGAGTTGTGACATCCCGAAAAATTGGTCCATTTAGGGTTTATAAAATACTGAGTTTTATGAATATACTCGTGGTAAATTCTCGCCCGGAACTGATCATTCCTGGGATACTAACCATTGGGGAAAGGCTAATCAGGGATTTAAATTTGTGCGACTAAGAGAAAATTCGATCGTGACTTGAATTTCGACCATGAAATCGCCGAGGTGATATTTTGAGCCACTGTTGGCTGATGCGAGGATAACTAGGGGTCAGTTTGCCACTGTCATAGTAGTGGATCGCGGGTGATTCCACTGGACCACGAAATGAGTTGGCGAACGATCCTGAACCTATACCAGACGATCGTGCCCCTCGGATCTAGTGATCGATCATCGCGATTTTAATGACAACCGAAAGTCGTCACGAACCGAATGAACTTGCACGTGACTCGATGTATTATCAGTCACGGGTCGAATATGCGGATTTCCCCAACCAGCCGCCCGTTAGTTTGAGAAACACTCGAGTTGCGTTTAGTAAAATTTAATTATTTAATTGAGCCCAAATTGGACATTGGAAAATTAGGAAGTCACGGTAGAACGTTAGGACGACGTTGCGGATGGAACGTGCAATTTTGGATGTGCCCGAATCCTTCTGAAAAATTCGTTTTCGGCAAGAAAATGGGAAAGTGACCATTTTACCCTTGGAAATTTATAAATGGTTAGTTTTACAGGGCAAGGATATTTTGGTAATTTTGCCCTAAAATTTGGAAAAGACAATTTTGCCCTTAGAGTTTTTGAGAAATTTCAAGATTGCTCTTGGATATTTTAGGAAAGATTCGATCTGAGCCGTCGATTTCAAGATAAGATCGAATCTCAACCGTCGGATGAAAAGTAGAGAGAAGGGCATTTTGGTCATTTGCCATTTTGGGTCAAAATTGGACTATTTAAGCCTTGACCCATTTTCTCTCTCCTCTCTCTCTCTTCCCACCGAAAATTCCCTCCACCGTGAGCTCTCCCCCCCTCCGGCCATCTCTCCCTCCCACCGTGCCGCTCGCCGCCTTGCCGCGCCGCCGCCCTCCGGATCACCGCCGAGCCTCACGCCGCCTAGTTGCCGTTTCCCCCTCTCCCTCTCGGTTTTTCTCTCTCTCGGCCGTGACCCTTGCCGGCCACGCTCAAGCCCCCGCCGTCCGCCGTTCACCGCTCGCCCGCCGTCGTGAGCTGTACGTCGCCGCCGCCGCAAGATCGCCGTCGATCGCCGCCCGTTTGACTCTAGCCGCGTGAGTCTAGAGTCGGGTAAGTTCAATCTAAACCCTCGCCTAGTTTATCGGGTATTTTCGGACCCGTTTAGACGCGAGTTGGTAGAAATTAAGGGCTGGATTGATTAGCGGGCGGTAGGATTGAATTCGGGAAGTTTCGGCGGAATTTTAGAGGCCGATCGTTGGCTGTGATGTGCTGTTCTATGTGCTGTGATGAACTGTTTGGCGTGTGGTCTGTGCCGTTAGATGCGGCTCGGAATTTCATGAAAGTGTCGTGAAGGGCCGGGAGTGAGATATGGTGTTTTTGAGGGCGAAAAAGGCTGATTGATGGCTGTGATGTGTGGTTCTATGTGCTGTGGGGTGCTGTTTGTTGTGTAGTTGGTACGGTTAGGTTCGGCTCGAGATTTTGTGAAAATGCTGTGAGGGGCCTGAACTGATTTGATAACGTTTGGGTGTGGAAAAATGTCAGTTTGTGTGTTGACTGCGTGTCTGCGATATGACTTTGTGGTTGTGATGTATTGGGTGCAATTGTGTGCACGGAATTAAATGTGAATGTGTGCAAGTGTGAGATTGGGATCGGGTCGAGGCATTATAAGCTCGGATCGCGATCACGTAGGCCTGTCGCATTTGGCGCAGGCTGAGGATTAAGGAAGTGGGAAATGAGATTGGCCCGAGGCATGATCAGCTCGGGTGAAAATAGGATCGGGCCGAGACGTTCTAAAACTGGGGCCGCGATCATGTAGGCCTGTCGCATTTGGCGTGGACTGAGGAAAGTGTGAAAGTGGGATCGGACCGAGGCGTGTGATGCTCAGAGTGCGATCGTGTGGGCCTGTGGCGTGTTTACACGGGCCGAGGAATGGGATTGAGAACGAGGTGTGTGGTATGGTAAGAGAAAGTGGGATCGGACCGAGGCGTGTGATGCTCGGGGCGCGATCGTGTGGGCCTGAGGCGTGTTTACGCGGGCCGAGAAGTGATTGAGCTAGTGGGGTACGACGAGGAAAGTAAATGAAATTGATGTGATAGCGCGTGATCGATGTGTGTTTTTGGCATGGAACTGTGTGTGGATTGGGGTGTGCGAAGTTTGAAATGCGTGCGAATTTTGAATGTTGTGATTATAAACTAACATGCAGGTTGAGTATGCCAAGAGTCTAAGTAAGTGTGATTGCGTGGTTAGTGTTTGTTCGTGTTGTTCGTTTGTGTGTCTGAACTTGTATGGAATACGTGGTAGCCTAGGTAGGGTTTAGGTTGTGACTTATTGAGAAGTGTCTCATGGTTGTTTCAACCAATCCATTTCAAAGCACCTGCCCGAGCCTTGAACCTTCCGCCGCTACTGCCGCAGCGTTTTGGGGATCCCGATGCACACCGACATTCAGGAGTAGAATATACCTTGGCTGCTAATCCCTTTTGAGGTTGAAGACGCGATCCGTAGAAGCCAGTTGGTGTGCGTGTATTATAAATTTGATATTAAATTAAGGAGTGCTTGAGGTGAATAGTTGGTGGTGTAATCAGGAAATCCGTTCGGGTGTGTACTATCAGTTGATGCGAATTTGATGGGTGTTGGAAATGTTGGGTTGTAAAGAATTGGATGTTGTATATTTATATATCGAGGTATAGTTTTATGTATTGGTGGTTTGGTGATTTATATCTTCCTGGTGTTCTCCAATTTTATTGTCCGGGTTTATCTCATTGATTTTTGCTGTGATCGAACTCTGATGGAATCGGGAGGTCGTCGTCGTTTCCTGGGACGTCGCACTGATTCGACCTGAGTAAGGGATGCCGCGCGCTCGATGGGGTTCGGGGCGTGACAATCGATCCGGCCTCCACCGCGATCGGCATCGTCTGGGATCGAACACCCCCCGGCAACCCCAGGTACCAGACGGCAACGTTGGGGATCGAGCACCCCCCGGCAAGCCGGGTACCCAACGGCATTCCACTTAGGAGCATCGATCCGGCCTCCACCACGATTGGCATCGTCTGGGATCAAACACTCCCCCCCCCCCCCCGGTCAACCCTGGGTACCAGACGGCATCTGAACTCCCGCCGAGCATCGTCTAGAACTCCCGCCTAGACGGAACGTGACGTGATCATGCACACACATTATCCACTCAATGCCAATTTTTATCTTTGTAAATTAGCCCAATGTCAACTAAATCCGTTAAAATGCCACGATAATACCAAATCATTCTTCTCGAGAGAGAAAAATCGAAAATGTACAAAACCGGGTCCAAACTGGGCAGTTGCGCAGTGAGCGAAATCCTTTTTAAATAAATAGTAAAGAAACTTCAAAAATTATAAATTTTGGATATATTGTACAAAACATCGTGATAAACATTTTCTATGAAGAACTCAAAACCCATTTCTAAATTTAAACACCTCTTTTTGTCACTTGAAGTCAGACGAAATTCAACCCATCCGGTCAGGCCGCCTGACCATCAAAATGCATCTCATCCAGTACACAAATCACTTTGGAAAGCCTTGAAATTTTTATATGACATAGAAACAAGTGTTTTTAACAAGTTTCATGAAGGAATTTTGTTGAAAAGAGGTCTGGAAAAATTCATAGAAAATCGGAAATACCAGAATGTCGGATGAACAGTAAATCCGGCAGACTGAATTCGGTCCAAAAATGGACTTACGAATGACCCTAAAATATCTCCAAAAATTACAGATTTAATATGTGTTATACTAAAAGATGTTATGAACAACTCTCATGAAGAACACTTCCTCAAATTCGGCCCACACAAATCACAACAAAAATATCAAAATCCAGCGACGCAGCAGCAACCTTATCGGAAATCAACCAACAAGCACCACCAAGCAAACCAAGCACAACTAGCCACTAAATCAACTATCCACAGCCTCTAATCCACCCTCAAACATGTCCCTTAGTCACCCCTTAGCCTAGTCAAGGGTTAGGAAGCCACTTACTCAAGGCCTAAGCAAGATTTTCAAGATAGGGAGCCTAACAAAGCAAAGCCAAGCCAAGCAAGCAGCAGCTGTTCTGGCGGACGTACGCATGACTCGGCAACGGCGCTCACGGCAGCTGAGGGTGGCTGAGCAAGGGAGCTGGTCGGTCTGGTGAGCAGCAGCAAGAAAAGCAAGAAGCAAAGATGCAAAATGATGAAGAAGTAATCAGCAACGTAGAAGCAGAAGCATGGGTAGAGCAGCGTGAGTTGAGGAGTCAACAACGGGGAGGAGTGGCGTGGGAAGTCAGCAAAGCAGAAGTCAGAAGGGAGGGAAGCAGCAGGCGTGAAGCAGAAACGGTATGGGTTCAGCAAAAGCAACAGGGTAGAGCAGAAGTCAGCAGAAAATGAAACAGAAATGGCAGCAAGGACGTGGGGGAGGTCAGCGGAAAGAAGTCCGCACGTGGGGCAGCGTGGGGCAGCGGCAGCGTGGGGGAGGAGAGAGAGAGATTTTCAACATTATCTACCCAAATATTTTGTCCATAATTTTCCTTTTTCCACAATTCCGATCAACCCGATAATTGGCCACACTTTAACGAGACGACATCCAATAAATTAGTCGTGAAAATCTTAAAACTTCGATACCCAATTCGGATTCTAATTAATGGTCAAATTCAATCGAACGCGACTTTAGTGCATCTCGAACTAACGGGCGGCTTTTAGGAATTTACGCGTATCGACTCGTGGCCAATTTGATATCGAGCCACATCTAAGTTTACTCTAGCCATGGCGACCTCGGTTGTCATGTAATTGCGAGGGTCAATCACTAGTTCCAAATGAAACGATCGTTCTGATTAGGTTTATGATCATTCGAAATTTATACAATGGCCAAGTGGAATCACCCGCTATCCAATTGCACGACATTTGCGAATCCTTCCATAACCATCCTTGGATCGGCCTTTAATGGCCCAAAATATTCTCTCGCCAATCCTTATGGTCGAAGTGTCAATCCATGGCCAAGTTCTTAGGTCCACGTACTTGATTCCTAGCTAGCCATTCCCTAACGGTTAGTCTACTCGAGAGTGATCAATTCCGAGCGAGATTGACTAAAAGCGCATTGAAGAAATATTCATTTCATAAATCCCGAAAATTGGTCGAAATTCAGAATGTCACAACTCTTCCCCCCTTACAAAAATTTTGTCCTTGAAATTTACAACTAAACCACAATACTCAAACAAATGGGGGTGTTGATGCCTTATGATCTCTTCACTTTCCCAGGTGGCCCCTTCCGTACCGTGATGCTGTCTAACGACTTTAACTAACGGGATCGTCTTGCTTCTCAAAACCTACTCCTTTCTGTCCTCAATCCAAATAGGTCTTTTCACATACGACACCCTGTCGTCCACGTCTATTTTTTCATAATTCAGCATGTGGGTCGGATCCGGTTCATACTTCCTCAGCATGGACACGTGGAAAACGTTATGAACTTGAGACAAATTTGGCGGCAAGGCTAGTCGATAGGCCGGAGTTCCAATCTTTTCTAATATCTCAAACGCACCTACGTACCTTGGACTCAACTTTCCATTCTTGCCAAATCGGAACGTTCCTCGCATTGGCGACACCTTAAGAAAGACATGATCTCCCACTTGAAATTCCAAAGACCTACGTCTCTGATCCGCATAACTTTTCTGACGACTCTGAGCGGTCTTAAGCCTGTCTAGGATGATCCTAACTGCCTTAACTAACTGTTGTACCAACTCTGGACCCGTTATACTCCTTTCACCAACCTCATCCTAACAAACTGGAGTTCTGCATGCTATGCCGTACAACGCCTCAAACAGTGCCATTCTTATACTCTGCTGATAACTGTTATTTTAGGCAAATTCAACGAGGTGTAACTGTTCTTCCCAACCTCCTTTAAAATCTATCACGCACGCTCACAACATGTCCTCGAGCGTTTGAATTGTATTTTCAGACTGACCATCCGTTTGCAGGTGATAGGCCGTGCTATATTGCAGCTTTGTCCCCATAGCTGTCTGAAGACTTTTTCAAAAAGGTTGCAGTAAACTTAGGGTCTCTGTTTGACGTGATCGTAACTGTCACCCCATGAAGAAGGACTATTGGTCGCATATATAGCTCGGCATACCTATCCATTGCAAAATCCTTTTGCACTGTCAGAAAATGTGCTGACTTAGTCAATCTGTCGACGATAACCCAAATCGAATCATGGCCTCTCTGGCTCCTCGGTAATCCCATGACGAAGTCCATAGTAATGTGTTCCCATTTCCACTCGAGAATTTCCACTGGTCGCAACACCACTAGGCTTACAATGTTACGCCTTCACTTGTTAGTATTTTAGGCACTTTGCCACGTGCTTAGTTACATCCAATTTCATCCCGTTCTACCAATAGTGCTGACGCAAGTTCCGATACATCTTTATACTATCCGGATGAATGGTGTAGTTGCTACAGTGAACTTCTGCTAAGATTTCGTCTTTAAGATCCGCGTTATCGAGGACGCACAATCGTCCACGAAACTTCAACATCCCATCCTCGGATACTCGAGAGTCGGTTTTCCTCTTAGTTGCATTCATACTCAAAATCTTTTGAATCTCAAGATCCGTAGATTGTAATTACTTAATCCTCACCTGAATCTCCGGTTCGATCCTTAAAGTAGCCAATAAACTTGAGAGGTGACTTACCTCAAACTTGAATTCCGAATCTCGCACCCCCTTCAAGTAAAGTCCATTCTTTAACCATAATATGCGCAATGCTTGACTTCCGACTAATTGCACCTGCCACTTTGTTGGCTTTTCCGGGATGGTACAAAATATCGCAATCATAATCCTTTAGAAGCTCCATCCAACGACGTTGTCTCATGTTCAATTCCTTTTGGGAAAACAAGTACTTTAAACTGTGATGATCCGTATAGATTTAAAACCTTTCTCCACATAAATAATGCCTCCAAATCTTAAGTGTAAAGATGATAGCCGCAAGTTTCAAATCGTGCGTTGGGTAATTTAGCTCGTGAGGCCTCAATTGTCGCGAAACGTATGCAACCACTCTTCCATGCTGCATTAACACACATCCCAATCTCTTTAGCGACGCATCACTGTAGATTTCATATCCTCCGGAATCTGACGGTATTGTCAACACGGGCGTGCTCGTCAACTTATTGTTAAGTTCCTGAAAACTTTTTTCGCACTTATCTGTCCATTCAAATCTTATTTCCTTCTTTAGTAGGCGAGTCAGAGGAGTAACTCGTAATATCCATATCTTGTCCGATAGGCCGTTTTCGGTATATCCTCCTTCTTAATCCTTAGTTGATGGTAGCTCGTTCTTCAGTCTATCTTGGAGAATACCAATGCCCCTTGCAGTTGATCGAACAAGTCATCTATTCTTGGTAACGGATACTTGTTCTTGACGGTCACTTGGTTCAACTGCCGATAGCCAATGCACAAACACAATGGACCATCTTTCTTCCTTACGAACAACACTGATGCTCCCCACGGCGACGCACTTGGACGAATGAACCCTTTATCCAGTAGTTCTTGTATTTGAACCTTCAACTCTTTCAACTCTGACAATGCCATTCTGTAAGGCGCTCTAGAGATTGGCTCCGTCCCATGGCCAACTCAATCACAAATCCAACTTCTCTCTCAGGTGGTAATCCCGGCAATTTCTGAGGAAAGACATCGGGGAAAATTACACACCTCGGCTATGTCTTCTAGCCTTGGTTCCTCAACCAACAATTTAACCACAAGATAATTATCTTCCTATATCTCAAAGACAAAGCTCAATCCATCAAATTTCACACCAACGGTTTCCCAAAACAAATCACCCCAGTACTTTACAAAATCCAAAATTTCCAAGCGATAACTCATTCATCCAAATCTTATCAAAAGATATCATCAGTAATTCCAAAATCCATAAACTGATTGCGTCTATTCACCATGAGCAATTATATGTCTTACATGACCATTCAATCTATAACTTCAAAAATCGCTTCTAATACACCAAATATCATCACACATCGCATTTAGACCTTTAAGACAAATCCTCCGCTTCCTTCCTAGCCATAGCGCACAACCTTCCTTGTGCCTGCGGTCGGTCCTGGTTAATCTGCGGGGCAACTCTAGCTTGATGTCCTACCCGCGATTGTTGTTGTTGCATTGGCGGCCTAGCTTGTCAGTTTGGGCAGTTTCTCACTTGGTGACCATGTTGGCCACATCCAAAACATGCTCCAGGTCCACCTGGGCAAGGGCCATTCCCGTGCCTCCTTCCACAAGACCGACATGCGTCCTTGGAGTAGTGGTTCGGCTTTCAAAAGTTCTTTCTTACCGGAGGGACAAATCGCCTATTCGCAGTCATCTGCTCCTTTCCAAAGTTCCTATTGTCCCTAGTCGACGCATACCGCGATCCAGAGGCGGCAGCCCTTTCTGTCATGTCTCGCTCAACCATCTGAGCTCTCTCATAACGCTCATTGTAATCCCTTAAATTCAGGAGTATCAACTGACTACGGAGATCCGGTTTCAGTCCATCTCGGAACCTCCTTGCCTTGTCCACAGGGTCTTCCACCATCCTTGGTGCGAACTTAGACAATCTTGCAAATTCCGTCTCGTACTGATCTATTGTCATCTGGTTTTGACGGACCCATAGAAACTCTGCCATTTTCTGTTCCTATGCACTCTCAGAGAAGTATTTCCCATTGAAGGTCTCAACGAAGGCAGTCCAATTTGGGATCGTGCTTACAGGAAAAACCTTACCTCGGGTGGCCTCCACCAGTCATTTGCTACACCCTGAAGTTGATACACCGCTAGGGTCACCTTTTCTTCCTCCGTGCACTCCAGCAGTACAGAGGCTTTCTCCAATTCTTGAACCCAGATAGTAGTGGCCTCGGGATCTCTCTTCCCGTCGAACTTGAACGGTTTCAGCTTTAAGAACTGCTCCACAAATTGGTGCATCTAGCGATTTCCATTTCCATGATTTCCATTATTCCTATTATTTCCATTAGCTCCATTAACAGTGGCAACAGCGGCCTCAGCAGTAACAGTAACAGTAGCAACTCGTCCTTGAGTCTGCCTACCCATCAAGTTTCCAACCTCCTCAAGTGCTCTCAAAATCCCATCCACTCTGTGATCCTCCACAGCTCTAGCTCGTGAACCCGATTGGCCTCTTGTTTCCCCATTCCTCGGCTGCTCATTCTCACAGAGTTCTCTCACCAAACACCTAAACTGCTATAATTCCGTCCAGGAATTAGAGACCTAAGCCATCTACTCAAGTCTAGCAGTTCTAGGCAGTAAATCACGACAATGAGCATAGGATAAGCAGCCACCAAAACAAGCATGAAGAGCATATAACTAGTAGGATTCTCGATCTTACCATACTCCTTGCAGCGCCTGCAATCACGAATATCACCAAACAAGCATCCAGCAATCACAAAACAAGCATTGTAAGGACACAACCAATAGAGTTTTCGTTCTTACCTTTAGTCTTGCCGCACCTACAACCAACAGTAATAACACGAAACCACCCAGCACTCACAAGCAAATAACCACGAGATATGCATTAAACACCCCACATGATGCAAACTCAAGCCTATTAACCACAAGCACATAATCTCAAGGCATGCATAACGCAATCTATTCATGTGATCAGCGAAGGTCTCCCTAACTAACTACCTCAAAGTCATCGTCCTTATCACTCCAGGTCTCGACCAAATTTGGATCGAGCTAACCTTGCTCTGATACCAAATCAACGGGGATGTCACGCCCCGAACCCCAATGACCACGCAACATCCCTCCGAGGTCATCAAGTATGCGATATCCCAGGACTTGTCGCCGACCCAATCGAAACACAAGCGATTAAACGCACGCAGAAGCGAATACAAACTCTCCATACAACATACAATTTCACGAGATAGTCAGGAAAACACTTCACATAAAAACCAGTAAGTCATTATAAGCTCACAAAGATAACTCAAGGAGGTTTACACAATTACAAGCCTCACACGAAGCCACTTCCTAACGAGGCCACGGATACAAAAGGGAGGCTGACTTAAATTCCTCTATAACAGGGCATCCAAAATGATGATACATCCAATGCCCAATATCACCCCAGAACTCCGAACCGCACGTGACGACTACTTGTCATTCCAAGCCTGAAAAATGTTTAACAACGGGGGATGAGATAAATCTCAATAAGTAACTACCTAAGCCTCGCTTAGGCTAATGCGTTCCTCCGAACAATCCTAATCATGCAATGCCGACATCCAACATGTCATAACAATCACAGGCGCCCTTACCTTGCCTCGACACATACGCAAGCTCTGCACTTTAGAATCCCGCCATAACATGGCCAATTGCTCATCAAGCTTGTACAATTCAATTCAAGGCATAATCATGCATAACACGGTTAATAACCCAGACGTGCTCATCAATTAACTCAGGCAAACATTCCCCAATGCAAATCGCACTCATTATGTCCATATTATTAACGACCCCTCGGGCCACTGAACTCCCACCGGTTTTCTGGTATAACCAGGCAACGTCCCACTATGTCGGCGATGGCAACGTTGGGGATCGAACACCCCCCGACAAGCCGGGTACCCTAGCACACACAAATCACAACAAAAAATAGGAAAATCCAGCGACGCAGCAGCAACCTTACCGGAAATCAACCAACAAGCACCACCAAGCAAATCAAGCACAACTAGCCACTAAATCAACTATCCATAGCCTCTAATCCACCCTCAAACAAATCCCTTAGTCACCCCTTAGCCTAATCAAGGGTTAGGAATCCACTTACTCAAGGCCTAAGCAAGATTTTCACACTAGGGAGCCTAACAAAGCAAAGCCAAGCCAAGGAAGCATCAACTGTTCCGGCAGACGTACACGTGGCTCGGCGGCGGTGCTCACGGCGGCTGAGGGTGGCTGAGCAAGGGAGCTGGTCGGTCTGGTGAGCAGCAGCAAAAAAAGCAAGAAGCAAAGAAGCAAACTGAAGAAGAAGTAATCAGCAACGCAGAAGTAGAAGCATGGGTGGAGCAGCGTGAGTTGAGGAGTCAACAACGGGGTGGAGTGGCGTGGGAAGTCAGCAAAGCAGAAGTCAGAAAGGAGGGAAGCAGCAGGCGTGAAGCAGAAACAGTATGGGTTCAGCAAAAGCAACAGGGCAGAGCAAAAGTCAGCAGAAAATGAAACAGAAATGGTAGCAAGGACGTGGGGGAGGTCAGCGGAAAGAAGTCCGCACGTGGGACAGCGTGGGCCAGCGACAGCATGGGGGAGGAGAGAGAGAGATTTTCAACATTATCCACCCAAATATTTTGTCCGTAATTTTCCTTTTTCCACAATTTCGATCATCCCGATAATTGGCCACACTATAACGAGACGACGTCCAATAAATTAGTCGTGGAAATCTTAAAACTTCGATACCCAATTCGGATTCTAATTAATGGCCAAATTTAATCGAACGCGACTTTAGTGCATCTCGAACTAACGGGCGGCTTTTAGGAATTTACGCGTATCAACTCGTGGCCGATTTGATATCGAACCACATCTAAGTTTACTCTAGCTATGGCGACCTCGATTGTCATGTAATTGCGAGGGTCAATCACTAGTTCCAAATGACTCAATCGTACGGATTAGGTTTATGATCGTTCGAAATTTATACAATGGCCAAGCGGAATCACCCGCGATCCAATTGCACGACATTTACGAATTGTTCCGTAACCATCCTTGGATCAGCTTTTAATGACCCAAAATATTCTCTCGCCAATCCTTATGGTCGAAGTGTCAATCCATGGCCAAGTTCTTAGGTCCACGTACTTGATTCCTAGCTAGCCATTCCCTAACGGTTAGTCTACTTGAGAGTGATCAATTCCGAGCTAGATTTACCGAAAGCGCATTAAAGAAATATTCATTTCATAAATCCTGAAAATTGGTCAAAATTCAGAATGTCACAAAATCAGCCCTTAATCCGCACTAAATAACCCCTAAACGAGTCTAATAATACCCAAAGTCCTAGACGGAGTTTAGGGAGTCGCTTACCTCGAGCCTAAGCGAGAACGGCTAAGCGTGGAGGGCAGCAAGGCCGCCGGAACAGAGCAGCAGGGGAATCGACACAGGAGCGACCTATAGGCGCTCGGCGGTTCACGGCGGTGACGGCAAGGCGGCGGTTCGTGCGGGCTGGCCGGCAGAACTGGCGGGGCAGTGACGGCAAACTGCTGGGCAAGGGCGGCAACGGCGGATAGATGGCTCCGGCGGATACGCGGCGGCCCACAGCGGCGACAGTCGGAGCAGGGACAGAGAGAGAGAACAGAGGAAGGGAAGGGATGTAGCTGGCCGGAACAGGGGAGCAGCGTCCACAGCGGCACCGGCGACAGCAAGGGCAGCGACCAGGCGGAAAGAGGGAGCTTGGTGGTGGTGGCGAGTCGGTGAGGGCAGCGGCGGCCGGGATAGTAGCACGCGGCGGTGGCTGGCGAGACGAACAGAAGGGGGGTCGAGTGGCAGAAATGGCAGGGGCGGCGGCGGTCGGGAGTGGCACGGCAACGTCGCAGGTGGCTGGGACGAGGTGGGATTGGCCAGCCGGCAGCTCGGTAGCGGCGGGCCGCGGCGGATGCAGCAGCGAGCTTGTTGAAGCAAGGGTGATGGGGCAGGGGAAGAAGGAGGCGGTCGGGAATGAGCTGCGAGCAGCAGCGGCGCAGTCGCCGAGCAACGGCTGGAGGACGGCGCGCGACGACTGGACGGCGGCGCTCGGTGGCTGGGCGGCGAGCAAGAGGCACGCATCGGAGGGGAAAGGGGGAGCTCAGCCAGAACAGGGGAGGGGGAGAGTCAGCAACGACGGTGGCGACTGGCGGGTGACCGGAGAGCGGTAGCTCCAGCAGGCTGGTGGCGTGGCGGAGGAAGGCAACGAGTACGGAGGGGGAGGGGGAAGGCGGTTGACCGAGCAGAGGAGAGAGAGGAGGAGGAAGTGATCGTGATGGGAGAGGGGGAAAGACGTGAGCGGGAAGGAGAGGGGGGGGGGGGAGAGAGAGAGAGAAAGGACACACACAAAAGTCAACAAGTCTACTCGAGTGTGATCCAAGGGCCTAGATTTCATCTTGCTTGACAAGCTTGATCCAAGGGCCACGAAAATTTCAAATTATAAATTTAGAAAAGGGTCAAAAGACACTAAATATTTTAACCCAGAGGGAGGTGTACTTGTCGAAATCCGCACCCGGTCCAAATTTCACTTTTGGATAATTCTGGGCAATCTCGACGCTGGCCACATTAATATCGACATCGTCCAATTAAATTCGTCACGAAACTCCGAGAAATTCGACACCAAAGTTCGGGCTCTAAATAACGGCCAAATTCGATCGAATGCGATTATAGCGAAATCTCTAATTTAAAATTAACCCAAGAGTGATCAGTTCCAGGTAAGATTTTACTATAAGCACACTGACGAAATACACGCTTTATAAATTTCAAAAATGGGTCGAAATTCTGAACGTCACAACATGCTTCACAATGGACTAACTTTGGATCTCTCACTCAATCTACATACGGCACAAACACATGTATATTTATATTAGAAAAGGAGCATCATACGTTTTAAATTAATTAAATAAAATAATACGTAAAAGATTTGGATGCCAATCATCTTAATAATCGAACAGCACGTTTTTGTGCATCTATAGTCATGTGCGGTCTTATCATATCAAAAAACAATGCACGGATTTCTTATAAATTTTTTTTTTGCAAATCTTTGCGATTGAAGTTCCCACTAAATTTACGTTAATTGCTAGTATAGATATAACCATACAATATGACTAAAGATCAGTAACTTAATATATAATTTGAGGAGGGAAGAAAAGAAGATAATTCCATTGTGAAGATTGCCGTGGGACCCATCATATTCACAGAATTCCACTTCTGCCAGAGCTTCCAGTTACTGATATAGCAAAGAAAAAAAAAAGAAAAAAATCAGT